GGGCCCCCCAAGGGCTCTCGTGCTTCTTGAGAGGCTGGGCAGCAGTGGTAAGCCGCAGCCATAGGCAGGCGAGCTAAATTAAGGGTCTAAACGTTAAACCCTAAACCCTAAACCCTAAACCCTAGCCCCTGGAGCGGGAAGCAGCAGCAGCTGGGGGGGCCCCGCGAGACGGAAAAGAGGAAAGAGCGGCTAAGGGGGACGCCGGAAGAGTTATAATTTGGACAAATGAAATAAATCAACATTTAAGATAATGTAATTAATTAAAATAAACAAAAAATAGAAAAGTTGTGGCAAAAAGAAACGCGCCGAGTGGCGCTCCGCCGCAGGTGACCAAGGTGTCTATACACCTGAGCGCCGCGAGCACTTCTTCCTTTAACTCCTTTTTAATTCTTTTTATTTTTTATTTTTAATTTATATTTCAATTATTTCACTTTTTAATCCAATTCTCCACTTCACGGGCGCGAGACATCCCGAGGAGCCTTCCCCGCAAACCCCAAGCCCAAAACCCTAAACCCTAAACCCTAAACCCTAAACCCTAAACCCTAAACACTAGCTCTTGAAATGCGCAGCCTCAGGCGAATCCGTAAACCCTCATTTAATGCTGAATGCCCTTCACTGGCATGCAGGTGCAAGTTTCCCCTGCGTTGCCGGCTCCTAAACCCTAAACCCTAAACCCTTTTTAGTGGTTTTGTAGTTTGCAAACCCGGCAACGACTGCTGCAGCATTTGCACAGCGAAAAGAGGCAGCACCAAATGGGGGCAGCAGCAGGTGGAGACTGCAGCAGCACAGCAGCAACACAGGAGAGAAACGAGCAGCAACAGAAAGAGATGAGCAGCAGCAACAGCAACAGCAGCAGCAGCAGCAGCAGCAGCAGAAAGACATAAATAATATGGAGACGATCTACTTTGAAAAAACAAAGACAGGGAAGCGAAGTAGAAAATAAATTAGAGACAGAAGGAGACACAAATCATGGGAAGAGGATAGCAACAAGAGCAGCATCAGCAGCAGCAACAGCAGCAGCAGTAAGAGCAGCAACAGCAGCAGCAGTAAGAGCAGCAACAGCAGCAACAGCAGCAACAGCAGTAGTAGCAGCAGCAGCAGCAGTAGAAGCAGCAGCACCCGCAGCAGCCCCACGCAAACAAAGACGCAAGAAAAAAGAGAAAAGTTTCAAACGTCCCACAGCTGCTGCTGCAGTTTGCTGCTGCTGTTTGCTGCTTCTGTTTGCTGCTGCTCCTTGCCATTGCTATTTGCTGCTGCTTCTTGCTGCTGCTGTATCTTGCTGCTGCTGCATCTTGCTGCTGCTGCCTCTTGCTGTTGCAGCAGCTTGCTGCTGCAGCAATGAAGCAAAAAACCAAATAGGCAAAAAGGGGATTTTGGAAAAATAAGAAAAAGGAAAAAGGAAACAAAAAGAAAAGACAAAAAAGGAAAAAAAGCAAAAAAGATAATGAAATAAAATGAAATCAAAGGAAAATAGAAAAAAGATTGGAAGAGACAAAAGGAGATAAAAAGAAACTAAAAAGTAAAAAATAAAGAGAAGCAGCAAATGCATAATGAGAGCAGCGGCAGCCTGCCCCGCAGCAGCAGCAAAGAGCAGCAGCGGCACCAGCAGCGGCAGCAAGGAGCAGCAGCAGCAGCAAAGAGCAGCAGCAGCAACAGCGGCAAAACGCAGCTGGAGCACAGTAGAGCAACGGAGGCGCAGAGCAGCAGCAGCAAAGCGCAGCAGCAACAACGAACAGCAACAACAACGAGCAGCAGCAGCACAAAGCAGCAGCAAACAGCACCAACAGCTGCAGCAGCAAGCCGCAGCAGCAGCAACAGCAGCAGCAGCAGCAGCAGCCCTCATTCCTGCTGCATCCCAGCAAACTACCCAGCTAGCTAGCAGCTAGCTACAGCCTTCTAGGAAAGCATGCAGCAGCAAACAAACAAGACCCAAATAAACCACTTTTAATTCAGCAGCAGCAAAAGGGCGCCTCGAGGGGGCCCCTGGGATATCTGGGGGGCCCCCG